CTCATAAGATCGCTGGTTTGCACCTACAATAACCATGGACTACAAATCCGCCATTTCTGGACTACATATTCATACATGCACTCCGCTCACACACATGCTTCCTCATCTAGACTGATTACATTCACACCACCTGAGGATTGTCAGAGACTGATTAACACACACTATTTAAGCCACACATTCACCCCTTTAGTTTGCCGAGTCTTGTTATCTGTCACAGTAGCATTACAACGTGTTTCCCAGTCTTGTTATCTTGTGTACCGACCGTTAGCCTCTGGATTGTCCTCACACACCTGTTTGCACCTGTGCTTGACCACCGCTTGCCTGACTGTGAATAAACCTGCATTTTGGATCTTACCTCAGTTGTTGGTGTTACTCCCCGACGTTACAGTATTCACAGTTCATCTCTGTTGCTATCTTTTGCTTTATTATAAGATTTATAGATTACTCCGTTTTTATAGCCACGTTGTTTAAATCTGTGAATCAAATCTTGTGATTTAATTTCAAAATCTCTGAAATTGTCCAAAAGGGATATTTTCGATCAGCCACGGAGGATGGAAACTATCTCTAGCTCTTGCTCTAAGGATGGCATTTCTGCCTATTTCTTTTCTAAAAATAGTGGTGTGTAATTTTCCTGTATTATCTTTAAAAATATTTAAGTCCAAAAAATAATTTGAGTAAATGAAAAATCCAAACTGAATCTCAAAATTGCATTAGTAGTATTTAAAAATGCATGAAAATCCCTCAAATCTGCCTCCAATCCGGACCAGGATAACATCATCTATATTTCCACCCCAACACACAATACTACTCAAATATGGATTTGATTCAGAATACACAAATCTCTCTTCCCATAATTAATCGCATAATTTGGGGCAAACCAAGCTCCCATAGCTGTTCCCCTTATTTCTTTATAAAGTTGATCTTCAAACAAGAAAACATTATTTTTCAATGTCCATTCAGCCAACTGTACAATAAAACATGTTGGTGGTTTTTTCTGACAGTAAATAATATTTGACTTGATATTTTTCAAGACACTTTTATACAGCTTAAAGTGACATTTAAAGACTTAACTAGGTTAATTAGGTTAACTAGGCAGGTTAGGGTAATTATGCAAGTTATTGTATAATGATGGTTTGTTCTGTGACTATCGAAAAAATGTAGCTTCAAGAGACTAATGATTTCAACCTTAAAATGGTTCATAAAAAATTAATAACTGCAAATAAAACAAATAAGACTTTCCCCAGAAGAAAAAATATTATCAGACATACTGTAAAAAATTCCTTGCTGTGTTAAAAATAATTTGGAAAATATAAAAAAAAAATGTTTAAATAATTTAAAGGGGGGCTAATAATTTTGACTTCAACTGTATATACAAATATATAATTGTTGGCGAACTTGTTTATTAGTTTTGTACTTTATAAATACATTCTGTTGCATTACTTGCAGGCCCATAGCCAGGAGGGGTTGGAGTGGTTCGGTAGACCCTCCCCTCATCGATAAAGGTCCAGAATTTGTCCCATTCATAAGCTCATTTGTCCTATTTTGACTGCTATGCCATCATAAATTGTAAAAATTACCCAGGAAAAAGGCTTTAAGACCTAAAGCTATTGCTGCGGTGTAACTTCAGCTAGTCACTTTTGGCCATGGCTAACAAATATTTTCTCCTGAATCCAACATCCAGCTGTGCAAGAAAACATGCAATCGGACGTAAGAAGAAGTTATCTACTGGCCTCCTGTATGGTTGTTAAATAAAGAAAAATAAAGAAAAGTTTTTCAAGTAACCAGTGGTGGATTTTGTGATTTGGGGGCCATAAGCATTTCCAGCCATTGGGCCCAAAAGTTCTGAAATGCACCTTTTCTATTTTAATTGATTTTTAATTGATTTATTTTGCTGTTTTTGTCTTAAATCACTCAATTACTCCTTTTGTACATTTTGTCCTAATGCAAAATAATAATAACAACATGTAAAGCATCTTGTCAAACTTTTTAAATGATTGTTTTTCTTAAAATGAATTCACTACTAAAAGTTATATATAAAATATTTCGTTTTTTAAATCTAAATCTTTACCTGATTTGACTGCTGGAATTCTCCATGATTGAGAGTGGGGGATTAATTTTTGCGGAGGTTATAAACATTAAACTTTTATTTTTTAAGACCCTCATCATACAAAATATGACAGAAAATGATGTTATATTTAATTTATAGGTATAATTTATACTTATAGGTATTTATTTGGGGGCCCTCAGATTTCCTGGGGCCCTAAGCGGCAGCTTATCTTGCTTATTGGTTAAACCCGCCCTTGCAAGTAACATTTATTCTAAATCTTGGACGTTATTCTTGAAACAAAAAAGGACAAATAAAAAGGCGTGAAGCACCAAAACCGGCCCATATTAAAATTAATTTTAAATACTATTTTGGCCATTGTAGTTATCCATGAATTTTCAAATGTACTTATTTACAAGAGAGGCTGGAAAAGTTGTAAAGCTACATTATTTTTATTGTATTAATAATATTCAAATTATTATTATTATTATTATTATTATTATTATTATTTATTCATTCATTCATTTTTTTGTCGGCTTAGTCCCTTTATTAATCCGGGATCGCCACAGCAGAATGAACCGCCAACTTATCCAGCACACTTTTACGCAGCGGATGCCCTTCCATCCGCAACCCTCCGGGAAACATCCACACTCACTCATTCACACACACACTCATACACTACGTACAATTTAGCCTACCCAATTCACCTGTACCGCATGTCTTTGGACTGTGGGGGAAACCGGAGCACCTAGGGGAAACCCACGCGAACGCAGGGAGAACATGCAAACTCCACACAGAAACGCCAACTGACCCGAGGCTCGAACCAGCGACCCAGCAACCTTCTTGCTGTGAGGCAACAGCACTACCTACTGCTCCACTGCTTCCCCCCATTATTATTATTATTATTATTATTATTATTATTATTATTATTATTATTATTATTATTATTATTATTATTATTATTATTATTCAAATTCTGACTGAGAAAAGTTGAATGTGCTGGCCAGTTTGTTATTTGCCTAATAAATGACAATAGGCTATAATTTTTAATTAAAAATTTTAACAGATTCCTATTTTTCTAATGATATATGATGTAATAAAGTTGTATTTTTAAAATACAACTAAAAATAAGTCTGTATTCATTTTTCTTTTTTTTCTAAATCTTTAGGAAATATATTTGGTCGATCAAAAAGTGTGGTTTTTGTGACCATCCAACAAGCTAATTCAGCTAAAAATAGTGCTTAAAATGTCACTAAAATGCATTTAAATCGCATAATTAAATAGAAAATGACAAGGTAGAAAAGGTTATTTTTGATAAAAAAAAAGAGAACCAAGCCTTTTAGCAGGTTGGCTACAGACCTGACTATAGCATATATAACACAGATTTTTTTTTCTTTTTTTATCGTTGTGTTTTTTATATAGAGTAGCTTTTTGATGTAGGTTTATACAAAAACTTACATTTGTAGTTGATGTTATGTGAAAAACATTGTTCAAACTTTTTTCAATATTATTTTGTAGCTCTGTAAGGTGACTAAATGGTGCATGAAACTCTTATATATACAAATATATATACAAAGATATAATATGTAATAGTTGGCTAATTTGTTTATTAGTTTTGTGCTTTATGAATACGGTGTGTGGTTAGCATTACTTGTTGCACATTTCATACAGATTTTTATCTCTTTTTATTATTGTGTTTCTTTATAAGTACTGTTCTAGTTTTGCTTCTGTAAGATATTTATGTTCACCATGCTCAAGAAATACAGTAAAATGTTGTGAAACATTATTACAATTCAAAAGAATTACTTTATAATTTAATCTATACTGAAATGTACTTCAGTGATATTTTATGCTTTTAACATTATTGAAATATATATTTGATGTACTAAAAGCATTTTTATGCATATATACAGTATATATTTTAAAAATAACGTAAATGACAGACATTTTTAAAGACATGGATTATTGCAGTTTCTCTCGATACGTTATTTATAGTTTTGTGCTTGAGTACAATATTCATCTGTTTTATTTTATAACGAGTTAATAACATTTCCTCTAAATTTTAAAACATATAATACTTTAAAGGCTTTTTGTAGCAAAATGACAATTGATCAATAATAATGAATGCTTCAAGTATTATTTAGTTATTCCACACTGCAAGACATGATATGAAAAAAGGCATGACAACATTATTATTTTGCTTTAACTTATTCTAAGTAAGGTTCAAATCAAGTTTCAATTTATTTTGGTCTTACAAAGTTTAACTTAACATTTTGGTCAGTTTTGTGTCTGATGTACGTTGAGATGACCAGAGGAGTTAATTTGATTGAACTAAAAAAATAAGGCAGAAAGCATGTTTTACAGTAATATTGATTTTCTTAATTCCTCTAAAGTTGAAACAGTGTCATCTTAAAATGAATTTAAACAGAATCTTTTGTGGAAATTTCACCAATTGTCTTTTTATAAAAGTTTATATGCAATTTGGAAGAAATGTCATCAGTTTGTAAAACAAAACAATTACACTGGCTATTATTAATGTTGTAGAACAAAGCGTGGAAATATCCAACAGATTTAAAATCCATTAATAAACCAAAAGATTTAAAGGTATAGTTCACCCCAACATTTACATTTACACACTATTTACTCATCCATGAGTGGTTATAAGCCTTTATGAGTTTCTTTCTTCTGTTGAACACAAGACAATATATTCTAAACAAAGCGGGAAACCATTCACTTGACTACAAGGAACAACAAATTCTGGTTTCCAGCATTCTTCAAAATATCTTCTTTTGTGTTCAACAGAAAAAAAAGAAACTCATAAAGGTTTGAAATAAGTAAAGGGACAACATATGATTATATAATTTTCATTTTTGGGTGAACTATCCCTTTCAGGTCTAAAACTGACCTTTTGGACAACAAAGATTCTGTCTCATTCAGCCCATTACTAAACTCATACCTGGAGAAGAAAAACAAGCAGAACACACGGGCCGATGGTGTTCATTAAGCCCATGTAGTAGCTGACGAGGGCCTGACGGCAGCCGCGGTTGTACAGATTCAGCTCTTCACTCTGGTACTCGTAGTTGTAGTGGGCATTGTTGTCCAGGAGACTGTACTGGATGCAGGGCCGCGGTGAGGCTGGGTTACAGCAGCTGAACGGGACGCCGTCCAGCAGATACCGGCCGTCTACATTACTCCTCACACGACTGAAGGACAAATTGAACACAGAAACATATGAGTCAAAGATGGGTTTCCATTTCTTAGTTTTTGATTCTGTGTTTACCCACTTGTTAACTCTGACATCACACTCTTAAAATGCTGGGTTGTTGTGAGACAACATTGGGTCAAATAATGGGTTTGGAAAATCATTTAAGTTTAATTAAAAAACATTTAAATTACATTTTTTAAGCCTACTGTTGGGTTTGTTCATAATTTGACCCAGAGTTGGAAGTTTGTCGTCAAAACTAAAAAAAAAAATTCTTAAAACTCTAAAATTGTAAAAAAAAATTCTGGGTTGTTGTTGTAACCCAACATTGGAATAAATATGGCCAAACCAACAGTTGGGTTAAAAACTTTTCAATGACATTTTTTAACTCAACTGATGGGTTTGTCCATATTTTACCCAATGTTGGGTCACAAAGTCTGATCTTAACACTCTAAAAAAAGTTTGTTTAGAGATACTGCGTTGTTGTAAGCCAACATTGCATCAAATATGGTACAGTGGAGGACTGCCCATCCCACAGATATGTAAACATATATGCATATATCTATAATCAAGAGTTTTCTCGGTGGTCAGTATGCAAATATTTCTTTAAATGATGAAAATTATCATTTTTGCATCACTTTTCTACAATAATGGATAAGTGAGTGCACGGGCATTGCAGACAAAGAGCGTGTGTTTGTGTGCATGGAAATGTATTATCCTCCCTCCCTGTTAAATTTGATCTAATCCGTGTCCTGAAACACACCTCCTCTCCAGCTTTTACCTCTCATTGTAATGGAGAGAGCAATTTGTTTGTAAATAAATCTCTGTTATGAACGACTCATTCACTTAGTCGGCAATAATACAAGTTTCTAGCACGACAGCATCTTGTTGTTATATTTCAGCTACACTGTTTGCTTATTTTATTCAACAAAACTAGTGTAAGCCTAGAATTTAGTGCGAGTTGGTGCTACTTTGCTTACTTTTGCATGATCATCAGTAATGCTACTTGTTGAGCACAAAAGTTTGTAACAAAAATGTAAAAAATCCAATCTTACCTGTAAAATGTTCTGCCTTTGTATTTAATAAAACAATTAATAAATTTGCAAATAAATAAATAAACATATATATATATATATATATATATATATATATATATATATATATATATATATACATGTGTGTGTGTGTGTGTGTGTGTGTATATCTATATATATATGTGTGTGTCTGCGCGTGCGTGTGTGTGTGTGTGTGTGTGTGTGTGTGTGTGTGTGTGTGTGTGTACATTTATTATTTTTTTGCTAATTTATTTATTGTTTTATTTATGCAGGAATTTGTGGATTTATTAATTAATTTATTTGCACAATTATTTATTTATTTATTTATTGTTTTTGCTGGTTTTTGTCCTCCATATGCTTTTATTTGTATTGTAAGGTATTAGAACTTATATATATATATATATATATATATATATATATATATATATATATATATATATATATATATATATATATATAATTGATACTGAAATTCCTGCATAAATAAATATATAAATAGTGCACGCAGATTAAAAATTAAATAAATTCGGATGTTGGGGGAACAAGAAAATGCTAAACTGAAAGTAGATTCTTCCCCCTTTCACACCGCTCTATTAATTATTTATATATTTAATTATGCAGGAATTTGTAGATTTATTTATTTACTGTTTTATTTATGCTGGAATTTGTAGATTTATATGTACATTTTGTTTATTTATTTGCATATTTTTTTACTCATTGTTTTATTTATGCAGGAACTTGTAAATTTATATATACATTTGTTTATTTATATGCATATGTATTTATTTATTGTTTTATTTATGCAGGAATTTGTAGATTTATTCATTTATTTATTTATTTGCATATTTATTCATTTATTTTTTATATATGCAGGAATTTGTAAATTTTTATGTACATTTATTTATTTGCGTATTTTTAATTTATTGTTTTATTTATGCAATAGTTTGTAGATTTACATTTGTTTATTTATTTTCATATTTATTTATTTGTTGTTCATATTTATTTATTTATTGTTTTATTTATGCAGGAATTTATTTATTTATTTATTTATTTATTTATTTATTTATTTATTTATTTATTTATTTATTTATTTATTTATTTATTTATTTGCATATGTATTTATTGTTTTTGCAGGTTTGTCCTCCCCACTAGTAGGGTGGATTCAGCAGATTTGGATGATGTGATGTACACCACCTGTTTGTAAAAGATTACTTTTAATGTGTAATATAACTAAACAGTGTTTTTGTTGTTGTCTTTTCAATTCAAACGAGTAGAGGCTTGGAACCGGAAACAACATTTCATACGTCACAACTTAACAAGCACATTGACTTGGTGATCAATGCAGGAATTGATTGGTGAGTACTAAAGGTCGACCTTTCATCCTGACATCCGTTTCGGAACATGACATTCTGAACTCTGCGTAACCTTGGTAACGAAATGCTTTGAAGTGTTTGAAATGTTTCCTCATTTGAAAGCATCAGCACACTGCAATGAATGCTTTACTTACTTAGATTTATTGTCTTTTTCTAGTCCAAATATTTAAAAATGATTAAATCAAGAAGCATTTTCTAGACAAGCAAAACATGTTGTCTTGTTTTAGGAAATGATATGCTAAAATTAAGCGAGGTTTTCCTTAAAACAAGCAAAATATGCGCCCAATGGGGTCAGCAAAATAATCTTATGTCAGAAGGAAAGACAAGATCATTTTGCTGGCCCCATTGGCAGATTATTTTATACATATGTTTCTTTATTTAACCAGATAAAAACCCATTGAGATCAGGATCTCATTTACAAGGGTGACCTTGGGTCCACAACACACGACTTATGAAAATAATAATAATAAATAAAAAGTAAAGATAATATTAAAAATACAGTTTAGTTATTCAGCTATACCACATTACAATAAAAACACATACTTTGAGAAATGGACTGTTGTTGTTTGTTAAAAAAGATAGAGCATAATGATTTGATTGGGATGAGCTCAGACATTATTAGTTTAGACTGAAGAGTGTTCCAGGATGAGGGGACGGCATGATTAAAGGCTCGCTTACCTATTTTTAAATCGAACCCAGGGAACAGACAAATTATAAGTTTCACTTGAACATAAGGCATACTGGCTTTTTGACCTACAGTGCATCCGGAAAGACGGCATACACCTGTCCATATAAGGTCCCAGGGTTGACAGTGCATGTCGAAGCACAAACCAAGCATGAAGACAAAGGAATTGTCTGTAGACCTCAGAGGCAGGATTGTCTTGAGTCACAAGGCTGGGGAAGGTTACAGAAAAGTTTCTGCTGCTCTGTAAGTTCCAATGAGCACAGCGGCCTCCATCATCCTTAAGTTGAAGATGTTTAACCACCAGGACTCTTCCTAGAGCTGGCCGGCCATCTAAGCTGAGTGATCAGGGGGGAAGGGCCTTAGTCAGGGAGGTTAATAACCTGATGGTCACTCTGAGCTCCAGCGCTCTTCTGTGGAGAGAGGAGAACCTTACAGAAGGACAACCATCTGTGCAGCAATCCACCAATCAGGCCTGTATGGTGGAGTTGCCAGATAGAAGCTGCTCCCCGCCTGGAATTTGCCAAAAGGCATCTGAAGGACTCTCTGACCATAAGAAACAAAGTTTTCTGGTCTGATGAGACTAAAATTTAACTCTTTTAAGTCCCTACAGTGAAGCATGGTAGTGGCAGCATCATGTTGTGGGGATGTTTTTCAGCAGCAGGCACTGGAAGACTAGTCAGGATAGAGGGAACGATGAATTCAGCAATGCACAGAGACTTCCTGAATGAAAACCTGCTTCAGAGTGCTCTTGACCTCAGAATGGGGCGGCGGTTCATCTTCCAGCAGGACAATGACCTAAAGCACACCACCAAAATATCAATGGAGTGGCTTCACAACAACTCGGTGAATGTCCTTGAGTGGCCCAGCCAGAGCCCAGACCTAAATCCTATTGAACATCTCTGGAGAGATCTGAAAATGGATGTACACTGTCGCTTCCCATCCAACCTGATAGAGCTTGAGAGCTACTGCAAAGAGAAATGGGCAAAAAGTTCCCAAAGACAGGTGTGCCTGTGGCATCATATTCAAAAACACTTGAGGCTGTAATTGCTGTCAAAGGTGCATCAACGAAGTATTGAGCAAAGGCTGTGAACACTGATGTACATGTGATTTTTAAGTTATTTTATTTATAATAAATTTGCAACCATTTCAAAAAACTCTTTTTTTCACATTGTCATTATGGGGTGTTGTGTGTAGAATTTGAGGAAATAAATGATTTTAACCCATATTAGAATAAGGCTTTAACATAAAAAAATGTGGAAAAGGTGAAGCGCTATGAATACTTTTCCGATGCATTGTAAGAAGGGAACAAGGGTACCAGACCCAGAAGAGCCTCATAGACCAGAGCCAGCCAGTAGGTGTACCGTCTTACATTCAGAAAAGGCCACTCTGCTTTGGCATAGAGTTTACAATGGTGAGTTAGTCTACGACAGCCTGTAACAAACCTCAGAGCGCTGTTATAAACAGAGTTTAAAGTTATTAAAAGAGTTTAAAGCATTAATCCAATGCTTTTTAATGGGCTCACCTTACCCCACCCATAACCCTACCCGTCACAGTGAAGTCACTAGCTCCATTTGAGGGCATTGTGTCTGACATTGCATCGCTGAGTGATGCAGTCTCAGATTGCATCATAAAGGCTGCATCCAGATACTGTTGAATTAATGGTTAATTCTGCAAAGAGGTGGAACTTATAAAAATCTTTTATTTACATCTATCTACATTTAAAACCACTTTTAGATCCTAAAGATGAGACTGAACAATATGAAAAGCAGACTGTAAAGATCGTATGGCCTGAACAAGTGAAGGAGAGCAACAATAAATTACTTTATCCTCCGCAGATGATAAAAGGCATTTGGAAGGTTGTCGCACAACTTATTAATGTAAATAGAAAATAATATAAGTCCTAATACCGATCCCTGCGGCAATCCTTTGAGCACTAAAGATAAAGAAGTCAAACCGGCCATATGGACACAATGTGTTCTGTTGGACAAATAATTACCAAACCAAATAGTAGCTTGGTTTAACATACTAATACGTATTAAAGAGGTATAGACCAATTACCATGTTTGTAAACATTCAGGATGCGTGCGCAGGGAGGTGGCAGAAGGCAACCGGGAGCCTTAGCATTTACAACGAGGGAATGACATCAGATGCGGTGCAGAGTTTGTTGTTGTCTTAGAAATAAGATATATACTTACATATTATATATATTATTAACATAATGCTTACAGCATATTACAACAGCTCGTCACCAAGTGACAAGCACAGTAATTCAGCAAAATTAACGTTAAAGTGAGCGGCGTTCATCTGTCAGCTCCATTTGCGATAGCACCCCTTCCGATGAATATTGGATAAGAAGAAGTGACCAAGCATCCAGGCCGAAATACACAATCTCATTGAAGCTCCAAGTGATTTTACAAGAGAGAAGTTAAAGGTCTACAAGTCTTTAGATGCCAACAATTTTGTTCTTTGTGGTCATGTGCAAGAAATAATGCTCCATGATGACCAGATTCAAGAGCTAAACACCGAGATTCCGCCTAGCCAAAGACAAGGAAACAAGACGGAGCTAATGTTATACAAGGCCTGGGTAATTAATAACCAACACGCAAAACGACTGCATTCTGACAGTGAACTTCACCTGTACGGCAGGGTATGTGAACCTACACATAAAGGTAAAGTTGGTTTTATATTCGCACATTCAGACTTTCTCCTTAATAATATAATTTAATAAAAATATTATTTGCAAACTCTAAATAGCGAAATCATATTAGCATCAGCCAATGAATTTCAAAGTACAACATTGTTCAACATTGTTGTTTTCAAGTCACACTTGCAGGTTATTTCAGAGCGAATATTCAAAGTGCTGTGGTAAACAATATAGGGAATGTGTCACAAGTCGTCACTAAATGAATGTGTGAATATAAAACCAAGTTTACCTTAATAAACGTAACTTTCACATTTCATTCTTAGCATTCAGTGTCCGCAGTTTAATTCACCATATGTAACTGTTTTTGCTGAAATAATTTCAGCAATCAAAAACGAGTGATGTGTCTGACTCAGCATAGCGTGAACTGACCTGATATGACATGAGAACTGCAGAGTCCAGCATTTCTAATTAGCTCCTTACTTCATTCAGCTCCCATTTAGCCAAAGACGTCTGCAGTCGGTATTAAAGCAGTGTGTAGTGGATGGTAAAAGTAAAGTTTTCTGTTTTTGGACTCGAATTCGGCATCCTACCGCAAAACACGACATCTTTCCCATTGCAGCCTGTCTGTTTTTTGCAACCGGGGACCCGTGTGATGTCATGTGTGACGTAGGTTGGTAATTGGTCTATTAAAAAGTCTGTGATCAACCATGTCAAGTGTCTTTGAAAGATCAAGAACAAGAGCAGTGCAATAATTCTTACAATCCACTGATTGTGAAAAAAAATTATCTAAAACCTTAAGTGTGACAGAAACAGTGCTGTGTTACTTTCTGAATCCAGACACAGTTATTAGTGTCTAGAAACAGTTTAATTTTTAACATAATATTTTTTTAAAACAATACAATATGTTTTGCTTGTCTAGAAAATGCTGCTTGATTTAAGAGGTTATTAGATATTTGGACTAGAAATGAGAAAAAAAAATCAAAGTATGAAAAGGCGCAAGAGAGTGAGGTGATCTTTTTGGACTCACTCCTTCACTTCCTTGGATGTGAAGTCCAGGTAGCGGTTGCTGATCCACTGCACCTCAAACCAGTCCCTGTAGTTGGTGTTTCCACAGCACTGGAACTCAATCTGCAGACGGTCAATAGTCTCCTTCTGGAAACAGCGGCCTGGTGTGTCTGTGTCCTGTAGAGACGTTCAACATCATCACCTTCATAGAACACTTTATTAAGTACACTTTTTATCTATCTATCTATCTATCTATCTATCTATCTATCTATCTATCTATCTATCTATCTATCTATCTATCTATCTATCTGTCTGTCTGTCTGTCTGTCTGTCTGTCTGTCTGTCTGTCTGTCTGTCTGTCTGTCTGTCTGTCTGTCTGTCTGTCTGTCTGTCTGTCTGTCTGTCTGTCTGTCTGTCTGTCTGTCTGTCTGTCTGTCTGTCTGTCTGTCTGTCTGTCTGTCTGTCTGTCTGTCCGTCCGTCCGTCCGTCCATTTATAATTTTTCCGTTCCATCCATCCATCCATCCATCCATCCATCCATCCATCCATCCATCCATCTATCCATAAAATCATCCATCCATCCATCCATAATTTTTTGTTCCATCCCTTCATCATTTTCCATCCATCCATCCATCCATCCATCCATCCATCCATAATTATTCTGTTCCATCCATCCATTAATTTATAATTTTTTCATTCCATTCATTAATTATTTTTCTGTTCCATCCATCCATCCATCCATTCCTCTATTCATCCATAATTTTTCCATCTAATCCATACATCCCTCATTCATAATTTTTCTGTTTCATCCATCCGTACATACATTCATCCACTATTTTTCCTTACCATCCATCCATCCATCATCCATCCATCATTTTTCCATTCCATCCATCCATCATTTTCTACACCATCCATCCTCCATCTATAATTTTTCCATTCTATTCATTTATCCATCCATTAATCAATTTCTATACCATTCATCCATTCATTCATAATTTTTCCATTCCATCCATCCATGCCTTTTCTGTTCCATCCATCCATCTATCATTTTTTGTTTCATCCATCCATTCATCCATCCATCCATCTATTATTTTTCTGTTCCATCCATCCATCCATCCATTCATCCATCCATCCATCCATAATTTTTCTGTTCCATCCATCCATCCATAATTTTTCTGCTCCATCCATCCATCCATAATTTTTCTGCTTCATCCATCCATCCATCCCACCATCCATCTAATTATCTGTTTGTTTGTTAATCCACAAATTTTTTATTTCACTCCTGATTTTATATCACTTTTATCTCCTGAATGCTTCATTCATTTATTCCATCTATCTGTCTGCCTGATGCTAAAACTGTAGATTTATTTAGTCGTACCTAATGCTGTATGGATTTTGTTTATACATTATTATTGTTGTCCATCTCTTACACACCTTGTAGAAGCGAATGCCGTTCTTCAGGCCAATTTTCAGCGACTCCTCCAGGCTGGGCTGCAGGGCGTAGCTTAGGATCATGGCCACCAGCAGCAGAGATGTAAAGAAGACAGACAAGCAGAAGAACGGCAGCAGAAGCGTCTTCCAGCGCGGGAAACGCGAGGGGTCCAGTGAGTCCTGGCAGACTTTACCAGCACAGATGTTGATGCCCACTGATGCTAACCCCACTGCCATCAGCAGATTTGGCACAATGTGGATGTCCATACTGTGCATCACCTGTGGAGAAGAAAAGAGAAAGGGGCTGAATAACACCTATGCATCTATTATTTACTGACATTCATTATTTTCTATTCCATCCATCCATTCTTTCATCCGTCTATTCTTTTTCTGTTCCATCTATCCATCCATCCATCCATCCATCCATCCATCCATCCATCTATCATTTTTTCTGTTCCATCCATTCATCCATTTTTTATTCCATCCATCCATTCATCTATCCATAATTTTTCCGTTCCATCCATCCATCCATCCATCCATCCATCATTTTTCTGTTTCATCCATCCATCCATTTTTTTCATTCCATCCATCCATTCATCTATCCATCATTTTTTTTGTTTCATCCATCCATAATTTTTCCGTTCCATTTATCCATCCCTCCACCTTTTTCGGTTCCATCCATCAATCCATCCATCCATCCATAATTTTTCTGTTCCATTTATCCATCCATCCATCCATCCATTTTTTATTCCATCCATCCATTTATCCATCCATCATTTTTCAGTTCCATCCATCCATCCATTCATCCATCCATTTTTTTAATTCCATCCATCCATTCATCTATCCATAATTTTTCCATTCCATCCATCCATCCATCATTTTTCTGTTCCATTCATCCATCCATTTTTTTCATTCCATCCATCCATTTATTTTTCCATCATTTTTTTTGTTTCATCCATGCATAATTTTCCCGTCCCATTTATCCATCCATCCACCTTTTTCGGTTCCATCCATCCATCCATAATTTTTCTGTTCCATTTATCCATCCATCCATCTTTTTCGGTTCCATCCATCCATCCATAATTTTTCTGTTCCATTTATCCATCCATCCATCCATCCATAATTTTTCTGTTCCATTTATCCATCCATCCATCTTTTTTTTGTTCCATCCATCCATCCATAATTTTTCTGTTCCATTTATACATCCATCCATCCATTCATTTTTCCATCATTTTTTGTTTCATACATCCATAATTTTTCCATTCCATCCATCCATAATTTTTGTTCCATTTATCCATCCATCCATCCATCCATCCATCCATCTTTTTTGGGTCAACACCCCACCCCACCACCCCAAAAATCATTAGAATATTAGGTAAAGACGTTGCATAAGGATATTTTGTAAACTTTCCACTGTAAATATATCAACATCTAATTTTCAATCAAATTTCATTCATTCATTTTCTTTCAGCTTAGTCCCTTTAATCATCAGGGGTCGCCACAGTGGAATGAACCGCTATAAATAAAGCAAACTTCTTAATATATATTTTTCTCTAAACCCTCAGATTCCAGATAATCAAATAATTGTCAGCCAGATATGATCATATCTGATTATTTAAATATTTTAATTTTCAAAATTTTATTGAAAATGGAACATTTTAGACATGTTTTGAGTACCAGTGTAACATATTGTATACACAACTGCCTGTTGATTCATGACTAAATAATGCCTATTTTTTATATTTCTTTTAAATATCCCATACCTGTAAAAAGCATTAAGTGAATGTTCTGGAAATTACACATTGTAATGCATTCAATGTTAAAAATGCAAGTCTATCCCTTAATAACTTCTCAAAAAGCTCTTTCCAATCACCATCAGGTTTCATTGCAAGGTTTGTTGACTTCATTACAAACACAGGCTCAGGTAATGGTGCACACTATAGACCTTATCTGAGTGCCAATCCTCAGATTATGTGAGATTATTCCTCTCAACAAGACAAAGCTTAGGCCTGTTATACCTGTGTTGACAGTATAAAGGGTAAATGAAAGTAGTATCATACATATGCACCGGACAAATTATTCATTGTGTGTTATAAATATCAGTTATTAAATGAATGTTACTTCGTAAAACATTGGTTTAGTGTGAAAACAAAGACAGTCCTTACCCATATAGAAATCAAATTACACATGTCATACACATTTATATTTGGCTTTCACATATCCATGGCATACATACAGTTGAAGTCAGAATTATTAGCCCTCCTGAATTATTAGCCCCCTGTTTATTTTTTCCCCAATTTCTGTTTAACGTAGAGAAGATTTTCTTCAACACATTTCTAAACATAATAGTTTTAATAACTCATTTCTAATAACTGATTTATTTTATCTTTGTAATGATGACAGTAAATAATATTTGACTAGATATTTTTCAAGACACTTCTATTCAGCTTAAAGTGACATTTAAAGGCTTAACTAGGTTAATTAGTTTAACTAGGCAGGTTAGGGTAATTAGGCAAGTTATTGTATAATGATGGTTTGTTCTGTAGACTATCGAAAAAAATTGCTTAAAGGGGCTAATAATTTTGTCCTTAAAATGGTGTTTAAAAAATTAAAAACTGCTTTTATTCTAGCCTAAATAAAACAAATAAGACTTTCTCCAGAGGAAAAAATATTATCAGACATACTGTGAAAATTCCCTTGCTCTGTTAAACATCATTTGGGAAACATTAAAAAAAAAATAGAATCAAAGGTGGGCTAATAATTCTGACTTAAACTGTAAATATGATATATTTCACAATATTGCAAAACGGACCATTGGGAATTACAAATAAGTATATGTTCAAATATATTAGATGTAATTATATGGCCATATATGAACGCATATATTAAATTATAGCTAATATATATGAACATAGGTACATATTTGTAATTCCAGTGGTGTAAATGAATATGTAAACAGCCCTTGGCATGTATTGTATGTAAAAAAAAACAAATATGAACTTGTATATATAATATGAAAATATTGCCATATATCATATTTCTACTCTTGAAAAATAACTTGTACAAACTACTTATATAAAATAAGTTGAAACAACACAATTCTTAAGTTTTTTGCGGGGACAACTTAATTGTTTTCAGTTCAATCCACTTAAATTTGTACAAATGAAGTTAACTTAAGCTAACTTAATTTTTTTGTGTTGGGACAACATGAAGAAATTGAGTTAACATTACTTTTTTATGAATTTAAGTGGATTAAACATAAACCAATTAAGTTGTCCCAACAAAACCTTAAGAATTGTGTTTATTTAGCTCATTGTAAATAAGTAGCTTGAACAAGCAACCAAAAATATGCTTTTTGAGTGTACACTGTAAAAAAATCAGGGTTCCACATAAATTAATCCGTGTTGTCCCTACACAAATCGATTAAGTTAACCTAACACTTTAAACAAACAAATGTGGATTGAACACAAAAAATTAAGTTGTCCCATTGAAATCTCAATAATTGTGTTGTTTACGCTCATTTTAATTAAGTAGTTTGAACACTGAATAGGTTAAAATAAATATTTTTAAGTGCATCTGGGACTGTTCCTAATAGCAGCGACTGCAGTTCATTATGTTTCCATTCATGGTCTTGACAAACAAACAAATGCATCTACATATAGAGCATCACATTTATTCATTCTAAGGTTCTTTCTCGGCTCACGAATGAAGATTTTCATTACCTCTGATCTGCGATGTAGCTCAGTTTTGAGGAAAACCCCTGTAGCGAAGGTGACAGCACCAGAGAACATGGCCACCCATGAGAGCAGCCAGAGCCCCTGGGCCAAACGCACCCGCTTCTGGAAGGGGAACTTGAGCTTTAACAACACCATGCTGCTCCGGGACAGAGGGAGAAGAGGAATTTAATACAGCTCAGCAAATAATCATTCCTTCTCAGGTAAATTCTGTTATAGGTCTAAGAGTATGGGATATTACTTGATTTTGAAGGCCCTTTTAACACACTTTGTTGATTACAAGTAGGCCCACACAGAATCTACATGCACACAGTCTATTATATGAGTGTAAATATATATTTGTTCAGTTTTTATATTAATTTCAGGAATATTATTGACTAATATGCAAATGTTTATATGATTTATTTGCAATACAGTTTGTAAAGTAATCAAAAAAGTCTTTTAGTAGATATACTGTACTGTATAAGAGACTTGCTTTGTCAAACAAATCAATTTAAATATTTTTATTCCTTTAAAACCTTTTTAATTTGTTTGAAAAAAAAAAAAATTCTTTGTTGTTTTTATTTATTATACTTGTTCTTTTATTCTTGTTTATGTAAAGCATTTTGAATTACCGTTGTGTATGAAATGTGCTATATAAATTAACTTGCCTTGGCTAATTGGATTTGCATTGTAAACCTTCAATAATAGTTCATGTTTTTTTTATTTCATGTTACTAGTTACTAAACTTCGCATCAATCTGCTGATTATTTACTAAATATTTAGCAAAAAAATGTCAGCAGAATCTGTCTGGCCCTGATTAGGATTTACATTGCGACTACATGCCAACTAATTCTCATTAGAGTATTAGTAGATGGGTTATAGGGTTAGCGTAAGTTGATATGTACCTGCAAAGTTTCTTATAGTCATGAGAATATGTTGTTGGGGCAGAATCAGCAGTTATTAAACAGATAGTATGCTAATATTCTAATAAAAATGAGTTGACATATAGTTGCAATGTAACGTATTATCAACAAAGTGTGCAGAAGTATTAGATGCATCATAGTATCACCATCTACAAGGTACTTTTTAAAGGGACAGTTCACCCACAAATGAAAATTCAGTATTTTCTCATCATCTAATTACTTAAAACTTGTTTAAGTTTCTTTTTCTTCTGTTAAACACCAAAGCTGATATTTTGAAGAATGTTGAAAAATGGCAACCATTGACTTCTATAGTATTTTTTATTTTTTTGTTCCTACTATGGGTTTTTAATGGTTACCAGTTTCCAACATTCTTTAAATAACAACCTTTGTGCTTATAAAGGTTTTGAACCACTTGTTAATAGCTAGTACATTCTCATTTTTAGGTGAACTATCCTTCTTTAAGACATATTGCAATGCATAAGAGATGAAAAAAACTTAAAATTTATATTTGAGTAATTAAATATTAATTACCTTTAAGATAGTTTGAGTGCCCTTTCTTTCAAACCCTGAGCCTTCAATGTGCCTCCTACAGTTTGGCAGCCATTTTGACTAGTGCTTAAAAATATGATATAGAGAATTATGTCTTGAGTGTCATAATCTCCTGTCCTCATGTCTGATCCTATTAGAGCATCTCCACCAATGAGAATCCAGGCCAGTGTCCTCTATAAGCAAACCTGCCCTTGGACCACAAGTCTAGAGGGGGTGGTGGAGGGAGGGGTTCGACTGGAGGAGTGCAGTGTAATGGATGGAGAAACTGTGAAAATTAAAGAAACAGTGAAGAGGACAGGTATGGAATGGACTGTTTAACCATGTGAGCCTCTTTCTAACCTCAGTTGTGTATCCAAGAGGGTTTGAAGGGTTGTCAAAGAAAAACTACAACACCTGACAAAAGTATTGTCCCCTATCCAAGTTTTAGGAACAAAAAATAATAACTTCTAGTTGATCATTTGGTAACAGAAGTGCCTGATATGAAAGCCAAAGGCCTCTAGATTATGCTTATTTTACCAAAATAAAATACGATCATGTCTTGATTTTTAATTATTTAATTAGGACAGTAAGGTCTGACTTTGCTTAGACAAAAGTCTTGTCACTTAACAGAAATATTGTCCAGTATAGAATATAAAGTCATGCTGCAGTGGATAAAAAATGAATATTGTGAATGACTCCCATGAGCTTGGAGGACTGCATCCATACATCTCTGCAATGACTCAAATCACTTATTAATAAAGTCATCTGGAATGGCAAACAAAGCATTCTTGCCGGACTCCCAGAGCTCATCAAGATTCTTGGATTCATCTTCAGTGAATCTTACTTCCTCTTAATAATAATAATAATAATAATTTTTATTTATATAGCGCCTTTCCAGAGCTCAAGGACACTTTACAAGGAATGCAACAAAAAGATGAACAAACATACATGAGGTCAAATATAACAAACTTGAATAACACAAACAAGACCTAAGAGACATATGAGCAGAGTAGTGGTGGATCAGATTAAGTGGTCAGTTTGGCAGATCAGAAGCGAAGCATTCAGAAAATAAGTGAGTCTTAAGTAAGGATTTGAATTCAGAGATATTATTAGCAGAGCGGGTGAGTGTGGTAGAGAGTTCCAGAGTTTGGGTGCATTTATATATATATATATATATAGTCATTCATTCATTTTCTTTTCAGCTTAGTCCCTTTATTCATCGGAGTCGCCACAGCAGAATGAACTGGCAACCTATCCAGCATAGGTTTTTGCAGCAGATGCCTTTCAAGCCGCAACCCATCACAGGGAAAAACCCATACACACTTATTCACACACATACACTACAGACAATTTAACTTACCCAATTCACCTATAGCGCATGTTGGGGACTTGTGGGGGAAACCGGAGCACCCGGAGGAAACCCACGCCATCACGGGGAGAACATGCAAACTCCACACAGAAATGCCAACTGTTCTATATAACAAGCAACATAAAATAAACATATCTAAATGATACACAAACATAGAGCAAATTTGCTGACAATACTTTATTAATAAATAAATATACAAGGGTATTCGCTAATCAGTTATATGGCTTATTCGCATGCTAGAAGAAATGATCTAGATTCTGTTTCTCGGAATTATTTACATTCTGTCAGCAGCAGATACACATTTCAGAATAAGAATAAGTAAAACACTTTCCTAATGCTAGTTTATACAATAAAAAGACACATGAACATTAATTGGTAAACGTAATGTAATGTACATATCAGTCTGCATCAAAAATGAAAATAGTGAATTAATCCTGGTTCATTTTTAGACATGAAAAATACATTAAAAAATAAGAAAATAAAAAGAAAACGCCTACTAAACATCTGTACAAAAAACAATCTTTGTGGTGGGCATTTTTCAGAACGCATAAACCCCTTGACAGATAATATATGAAAAATATATGACAGAGCTACACAGGGGCGCCTGCAGGATTTTATTCCAAGGTATTATAATGATATAAAATATTCATTTTGATGGTAAATAATCATTTAAGCGATGGCTGTTATTTCTTTCAGTATTAAAACATTAAATAACGAATATGAAACAACACGTAGCAGGATATAAAGCATATAAAGCACTATTATATTTAGCAAAATGCTGCTCTTTTTATCTTAGTATTTTTCTACTTTTATTTTTGTTATTTTTAATAATTATTGACTTCATAATTAAGCTATATACAAATTCCTGCTTAACATTTTAGAAAATATTTTGCATAGCTACCCAGTATGTATTTAAGATCACCGACAACAAAAAAAACCCACAAAAACATGTTACATGGCCCCATTAATGTCCAACTTATTTATATATTTTTTGCTATTTTTTTTGTTTTGCTTTTTTGAGTAAAAACAATATCGACATTTAAGAATCCATATTTATTTTATTCCTTCATTCATTCCTTTGACTTGTTTATTGGTGCATATATAGGCTATAATTAAAATTAACAGTACCTTGAACTGCTACAGTTTCACTAAAGCTTTCAAACAAAAGTCCAAAAAATGTAAGAAAGGTTTGACTTTCTCCGGTGACGGTCGACTACATTACAACACACAGTAATCGTCCTTCAGGTGGTATAGCAGGCATTAAATTACAAAACAAGCCATTTGGGCTTTGAAATTAAAAGTGCAACTAGTTCCTCATTGTTCAAAGATTCTGCAAGTTTGTGTTTCATAGATATAAGGTGTATTGGATTGTGGATGTTGATGATTTTAAGCCTGTCATAGAAAAAAGTCTTTCAGCAGTGCATGTAGCTGTTGGTAAAGTACTCTCCCGGATCAGAGCAAGTTTTTGTGCTATCAAAATACAGCATTGCATGCAACAAACTCACATTCAGTCAGGAAAAGTAAAGGTCTCATTGCCTAGAATGTCAATCAAATTAATCAAGCTCTAGCCACGAATAAAATTGAAGGCCATTTTATTATTTTAAGATTTTAGACGACGGGTTAGTAATTATATTATAGATGGTTAATATATTCAGGTCAATGAAATAATAACTTTTATAAATTAAACATGTTCATAAGAATGTGGTGGTCCAGTGAAAAGCAGCTATAGTGTATACTGCTTAATAATAAATTTAAATGATGTCATAAATAAATAAATAAAAAAGCGGCATTAATTCCCGCCCTCTCATGGTAGGTACGCACAGTGCGTACAGCCGTATGGCTGCAGGCGCCACTGGAGCTACATGTTTCTGATGTCTTTTGACATTTGTATTGAACTGCATTGGGCAACAATTTAACTATAACAAGAAAAAAGAGATGCATGATCATTCTGTCTTTTTATGGCAATATCTTTTGCCACATGTTGTGTTTTTGGCGCGTTTCGTCGGTTTTGGACCACATTGAGTACATATTGCAGTGGACCCACACCAAAATACACTTGGAAATGAACTAAGTTTAATTTTTAAGGGGACTGTCTTATTTGGTGTGCACTAAGGTACAGATAGCATACGGTAGACACAGTAGTTCCCCCAAAAATGAAAATGTCCTCGCCATTTAGTAATGCTTAAGTTTTTTTAATCTTTTATGAGTTTTTTTTCTGTCGAACACAAAAGAAAATATTCTAAAGAAAGTTGGAAACCAGCAGCCATTGACATCCATGGAAAAATACAATGGAAGCCAATATGCTTCTCCTTTCAACATTCATAGGAATTTCCAGCCTGATCTCACGAGGAAACATAAGTATTGTACATTTAGGCAGTTCAGTGGCTAATTCGTACATTTTGGTACAAATGAGTTCAGTGAAATGAGTTCAGACATTCAAAAATGCACAATTTTAAAAAGAAGGCGTGGCAACCAACCCCACCCCTATACTTAATCGTCATTGGGTGATGAGCAAATCGTACAAAAGTGTACGAATTAGATTGTTAGAGGTCATATGAATTAGTCACTAAATCAAAAGGTTTCGAATTGCCGTAAGATTGCGTGGAATATCTTCTTTTGTGTTGAACAGCAGAAAGAAACTCACGCAGGTTTGGGACAAGTGAAGGATGAGAAATGATGACAGAATTTTCATTTTTGGGTGAACTATCTCTTTAATAAATCAATTGCACAAGAGGTTACACAAAACAAAGTGTGAACACTATTGAACTGCAAATAAAACACATACACATAACCAGATGGTAGAGTAAATACAAAGACACTTACATACAACATCTTGTACATCTTGTACAGCAACAACTTACACCAACTAAGAGCCATCAGACCAAGAGTTCTTCGCATACCTATTGCAATATTGGCAATAGGAGATGTATTGAAAGTCTTCCTTTAGTTTTTGCACAGTTTAACATTAAAAAAAAACAATTAAAGCTGCATCCAAAATCACATACTTCTCTACTTTATAGTAGTTAAAAGACAGTATGTGAGCCAAGTAGTATGTCCAAATTCATAGTGCTCAAAAAGCAGTAGGTCAGAAGAAGTACCTGAATGACCTCATACTTCCGGTGAGATTCTTTAGTGTGCATACAATGGACATGCAATGATGCCACAGAAGGGAATTCATGAATGAGAGTGATAGAAAACAATTAAGGAAACATGCCTCAGTAATGTATTTGCGATTGTCAAAAATGTACACAGCGCCCTCTTGTGAAAACAAAAACTGCAACAAAACTTGGCCCCCAGAACATATTTCTCAGTTCTTAAAAGTGTACCCCTGTGCACATTTTTTTCCAATGAGCCTGGGTTGCAATGTAAGGTGCGACTCTAATCACATACTTATGCAACAATATGGTGAACACAAAGACCCAATCCAAATTCTATTTTTGTACCCTATACCACTTCCCCATCCCCTTGGCCCTTGAAACAGAGTGTGAAGGGGAAAGGGCTTCAAAATTTACCCCTAACAAATGGGAAAGCACTACAGCACCTGCACGCATAATGCACTTATTAAAACAATGAAAAAGTGGTGTGAAATGTTGAACACTTGATGCACTCAAAGGTCACAGATTTGCTCTCAAAGGGGAGGAGCTATCGGGTGCTGAGGTTACATTACTTTGTTTATTTTGCATTGATCAAGCACAATTCTCCTATAAGTCAATATGCCGCCGCGTGATGGTGAATGTGGTTGTAATTATTCATTCATTCTTTTACCTTCGGCTTAATCTCTATTTCAGGTGTTGCCACAGCAGAATGAACCGCCAAATATTCTGTTTTATGCAGCAGATGCCCTTCCAGCCGCAACTGAGTACTGGGAAACATCAATACACACTCATTCACACGCACACACTCATACACTACGGAAAATTTTGTTTACTCAATTCACTAATAGCACATGTATTTGGACTGTGAGGGAAACCGGAGCACCCGGAGGAAACCCATGCCAACACAGTGAAAACATGCAAACTCCACACAGAAATGCCAACTGGACAAGTCTGGACTTGAACCAGTGATCTTCTTGTTGTGAGGCGATAGTGCTAACCACTGAGCCTCCGTGTCGCCCAGTTGTAATCATGACAAGGTCATCTAATTTGGTAAAGGTTAAACATTGTCTAAAAAATAACACCAAGCTTGTGCACTACACAGTGTGTAGTGTGTCATTTGAGATGCAGCTATACTTAACTAACAGTCATGAGGTAAATTCAACTTTAAGTACGCAGTATGAGATGCAGCTTCACTGTTTTCCATCTGCCAACTTTCTGGTTTCAAAAATATCTTTCTCACCGCCTTCATCATCCGCTGGAGGAGGAATCTGCTTCAAAAACTCATTCAGCAGCCTCTGAGCTGTGAAATAGCTGACATCTGCAGGGTTTCTTTCCTCTCCTCCTGTCTGTCTACTTTGTCTCAGCTCTTCTACATTATAAGGGTTTGGAGGGAAAACGTGGATCTCCGTGTTCACGGCTAACTGATGCACTTGGTGACTCTGACTCTTTGTTTCTGCCATGGTTTTGTGGATTGGCACATCTTCGGCAAAGGAAAAAGGAAGTTGTGAGTCACTTCCTTTAACTGTGAACTCCTCTAGTCCTGCCCATGGATCTTGTTCATGTTTCCATGGCTGAAAAGCAGTGGCTGGCTGTTGTCTGAAACCTGAGCACGACTGAGGCCATTGAAAAGCTTCCCCTTTTGCTGCAGATGCTTGGTTGCTGTCAGGTTGTCCGGTAGATGTTCGAGGACATATAAACTGTTCCAGAGCTTCCTGGGAATCTAGGTGATTTTTCAACAACTCTCTGATCAGTGAGGGAATCTGTGGAGAGGGAGAAAAAGATGTTGTTGCTGTTGTTGAAATACCTCAGTCTACAGGCACAGCTATAAATAAAATAGCTCACCTGTAAATGCGTTTTACATAGCAGGGCCCTAGCGCAGTTTCATTTTACCCTTTTCCACATTTTATTTTTACAGTATGACACTTTTTACAGTACTTTTACTGTTATTTATTAACATTTTACACTACTAGTACAAAACCTTTATTTTTAGTATTTACTATTGAATTGAATAAATTCTACAAAGTCTACATTAACGTCTACCACAACCCTAAACCCAACCATCATAGTTATTAGCTTTTACATTACCGTCTACAACTACCACAACCCTAAATCCAAACTTCATAGTAATTAGTGTTTACATTAATGTCTACAACTACCACAATCCAAAACTCAACCATCATAAATGTTAATATCTACAGATATCACAACCCTAAACCCAACCATCATAGTTATTAACGACTACAACTACCACAACCCTAAACCCAACCATCATAGATATTAACGACTACAACTACCACAACCCTAAACCCAACCATCATAGATATTAATATCTACAGCTATCACAACCCTAAACCCAACCATCATAGTTATTAACGACTACAACTACCACAACCCTAAACCCAACCATCATAGATATTAATATCTACAGCTATCACAACCCTAAACCAACCATCATAGTTATTAACGACTACAACTACCACAACCCTAAACCCAACCATCATAGTTATTAGCTTTTACATTACCGTCTACAACTACCACAACCCTAAATCCAAACTTCATAGTTATTAGTGTTTACATTAATGTCTACAACTACCACAATCCTAAACTCAACCATCATAAATGTTAATATCTACAGATATCACAACCCTAAACCCAACCATCATAGTTATTAACGACTACAACTACCACAACCCTAAACCCAACCATCATAGATATTAATATCTATAGCTATCACAACCCTAAACCTAACCATCATAGTTGTTAATGTCTACAACTACCACAACCCTAAACCCAACCATCATAGTTATTAACGACTACAACTACCACAACCCTAAACCCAACCATCATAGTTATTAACGACTTCAACTACCACAACCCTAAACCCAACCATCATAGTTGTTAATGTCTACACCTTCCCCAACCCTAAACCCAACCATCATAGATATTAATGTCTACATTAATGTCTACAACTACCACAACCCTAAACCCAACCAACTCAGCTATTAGCGTCTACATTAACGTCTACAGCCACTACAACCCTAAACCCAACCAACTAATAGCATCTACATTAATGTCTACAACTTCCGCAACCCTAAACGTAACCATCACAGTTATTAACATCTACATCTTCCCCCAACCCTAAACCCAACCATCATAGTTATTAGCTTCTACATTAACGTCTACCTCAACCCTAAACCCAAACATCTAAGTTATTAGCTTCTACATTAACGTCTACAACAACCACAAGCCTAAACCCAACCATCATAGTTATTAACATCTACATCTTCCTCAACCCTAAACCCAACCATCATAGTTAATAATGTCTACACCTACTCCACTCACTGTGCACGTACAGCCTCGAGTTCTGCAGGCTTTTGTACTTGACATGCTCGCCATTGTACTTTTACTTGCAACCACAGGGTGTGACACCGAGTAGGCTAACTGTCATGACAAAACGGATGAAGAAGTCAGTAAGGGGAGTTGCCAAAAGAATAAATATAAAAAATATATTATATGAGATGAATTGGTTATGGATAAATTTAAAGTAAACACATGAAAGCGTTTGCTGAAAATGTTCTCTGATAAGTATTTCTGCCCCCTTGCCAACAACATCTCGTTGTAACGTCTTGCTTGGTTTAATGGGATCTCGATAACTGCAAGTTACGCCACCTTCATGTTACGCCCCTGACTTGCAGTCCGCAGCCAGATACACTTGGAGTACTTGCTTGACTACAAATATGCAGTAAGCTACTGTAAAAGTTTTTAAATGAACCACAATGTAATACATGTTACAGTAGTAAACTGTAAAGAATGTATGTGGGCGTTTGTGGCCCATGTTTGTGGGTTTAACTGGGCGTTTTTGCAGTAAATTACTGCAATATTATACTGCAAAACTATATATATATATATATATATATATATATATATATTCCAGTCAAACTAAAAGAAATAAGACTTTCTCCAGAAGAAAATAGAATAGGAAATTATTCAAATTTCACTGAAAGGCTTATAAATTATCTTCATTTGCATATCAAATTACTTTTGCTCATTTAATTTGATGCTGACAGCATTCAGGACTTCTCGTCATTGACCCATCTGTCTGCATGTTGCGCTTACATTGATGTTTTCCAGAGAACCGATGGTCTTCTGTGCAGAATCCAGCTGTTTAGTCAGATCTACAATTCTCTGTGTGAGGACCGTTCTTTCAGAGCCCAAGCTGTCTACCTGTCAAAATACAGTAAAAAAAAGAGAAGCTGTAACACAAATAACTGGCAGTGTGTCTGTAGATGTCTTTTCATCTGCATTTTTAACAGCACAGCAGAAGGGAAAGCAGATGCTGTAATCAATAAGACATAAGGTCTGAAAAACATTGCATAGTTCACAGGTGTAGTTTATGTAAAAAACATCCATGACAACACCAAAAAAATCTGTAATATTGCTGTTAATATGGGGCGCAGTGGGGTAGCCAACATAAATGTTAACTGTGTTAATTGGCCCAGTCGAGGCTTGAACCAGTGACCTTCTTGCTATGAGCCGACAGTGCTAACAACTGAGCCACCATGCCGCCTAATAAAATATTGCTACCTTTAATTTTTTTGTTGTTGTTGTTGAATGAAACTAACTTTTGACATCATCTCAACTTACATAAAATTTACTTAAAATATTAAGTTAAAGTCTAAAAAAGTAAGTTGAAACCTGAATAACTTGTTAAAATAGGAATTGAACTTTTTGTCATATCATTTTTTCAATGTATAATACAGAAAACTCATGTTATAATACGGATATGGATAATATATACAGATAATTTCAACTATCTTTTAAATAAAAATGCATTAAATAGGCATCCTTATGGTCTTTCAATTAAAATTAAGATATTTTAGGTTGTTGCTAACGTGTTTGTTGGGTGTTGCTTTGAAATAATCAATCATTTAGCTGACATTCCCATTCTTTCACTGAAATTATATTTAAAGGGCATCTAATTTACCCCTTTTTCAAGATTCAAGAAAAGTCTTTTGTGTCTCCAGAATGTGTCTGTAAATTCTCAGCTGAAAAACACCCCTCAGATTATTTATTATAGCTTTCAGAATGTTGGAATTTTCTGCTCTGAACACACTGTAGCTGTTTTTGTTGCCTGTGCCTTTAATGCTTGTTATCCCCGCCCACCATTTCCATGTGTCTGTCAGAGTGTGCCTCGGTCTCAGCCTCAGCTGCGTCAGATAAACAGCACAGTGACAGACACGAAGGAAGCAGATATCACATAATGTTTGTGAGAAATCCTACAGTAAGAACTTTGCCAATGATTATTTGATGTATTTGTTGTGGAGTTAATTCAAGCCTTTCTGCAACGATGAGTCACACACATTGGGCTCTATTTTAACGGTCTAGGCTAAGTCTAAAGCGCATAGCGCAAAAGCATTAAGGCGTGTCCGAATCCACTTTTGCTATTTTCAGGACAGAAAAATACGCTCTGCACCATGGTCTAACAGAGTTGTGCTTATTCTCTTAATGAGTTATGGGTGTGTTTTGACAATAAACAAATCAGAGTGTCAGTTGCGTCGCGGCATAGCGTATTTGCTATTTAAATGGCAGACTTTGTAAGTGTAAAAACTGAGCGCTTCACTAGCGAGAAAACAGTTAAACAGATCATCTGCAGCACGATGATACAGAACGAGGCTTCTCCAATACTCCTCCTATACTTTCTCTTTCTCTCTTTCGTGGATAAGGAAACGTTGTTCACTCCACTGAAGACCTCGATTAGCCTACATAATTAATTCCATTTGTTAAGCACAAAGATTTGTTTCAAAACTATTTCTAAATTCTGTTCTAATTTACAGCAAACTAATAAATGAACAATAATAAGAAGTGTGGTGAAAACACTGATATATATTAAAACACACATGCTGTGCCCAATATGTTCCAAAAACTGAAATGTGGGCAAATCTAAGCTTGTGTTTAATAAAAAAAATATATAAATGCTAATAATAATACTGCTAATAATAATAACATTATACAAAAGCAATTGTCATGAATAAACTAAAAAATCCCCCCGAGATAAAGAAGGCATGGAGGCAGTGGTTTTTAAATTCATGTATAAAGTAATCATTTTTTGTAATATTTTAATCCTTTAATTATTTTCCATTTGTAAAGATATTTGTGTATTGCTGCACATTCGGCATGTTTTTTTTTTTTTTTTTTTGCACAACTGACGCGCTCTGCTCTGGACTTTAAACCTGCTTTAAGTTGGTCTATTGAAGAGTCTATTTTAGTTCCTCAAAGTTGCAATGCGCTAACAATGCGCCTTAACACACCTCTTTTCTAGACAGGAACACCCAAGAGTCCACAAAGTGGCTCAAATGGATTTGCTATTCAAACAACGTGGAAGAAAACAAGAAAAATAAGATTGTGTTGGTCTGAGAAAGCAACATGGTGTTGGGAACACAACGCCTCATTGCGCTTAGTGTATGATAGGGTCCAATGTTGTGACAAAGTTCATGCACACACACATATGCAGCGCGCGTGTTTAACTTTGCACTCTTTTTGCACGAGAAATGTGACAGGACACACGTTAATCTCCACTGCTGTATGGATATCCGTTATGTTAATGTACAAATAAACCTGATTTAACGTCCACAAACCGGGATTGAAGCGTTGTCTTTTATAATTGTACTGACATGCGGCTGTGGTGGTGAAGTAAAGCTGAAGTAAATCGCTGTAATTCATTACACACATGCACAGTTTTAAAACATTTTAAACTTTAAAACTCATTCCTGACCACATTTAATGATTGATGATCACAGAGAGCTGCACAGATCTTTTAATTCCACTAGCTTTGCGCACGTCCTGTCTTGTTGATATATTTATACGTGTTACTATGGAGACATGTTAATACGCAGCTGTCAATCAATTCGGTGGGTGAAAAAAACGCACGTCACATTGCTGTGGGCCTCAAAATGGGAGGGATTTGGAGCCTATTTTAACATTAGGAAATTTTAAAAAAGGAACTTAATCTTTTTCTATCACCCCATTATGACTGTGGACACTCTATACCTACACACAGTTCTGTCCAAACAGCTTATAAAACATTATTTTCATCAAAGGTATTATATCATTTAAAACTAAAGTTCTTAGTTTGCATCAGACTTTCTGATTTATTACTAGTTTTTCTTACCGAAGATTTGAGTTTTTGCTCCAGGACACCATTTGCCTGTTGAGAAACAGAATAGCTCTCCTGAAGCCTGCAAATCACACAGTGAACAGAGATTGAGAGAGTCAGTCAGTTATTCATTCGATTTTTGCAGAAACATGTCTGAAGTTTATATAAGACCTTTTGTATTTCTCTTTAAGGCTGATTAACTCCATCTTGGTGCATTGCAGTTCTGTCTCCATGTTCTCAATGCACGCCACCATCTGCAACAGGTTCTCGTGCAGCTCTTTGTTGTACTCCTCCAGTAACCTGCAATCAGTGGTGAGAAGAGTACTGAAAACTCATACTCCGGTAAATGTACTATTACTTGCCATAAAAAGTATCTATTCTGAACAGTACTCGGTGTGATTAAAAGTACTCAAGAGTAGTGAGAAATAAGTAGGCCCACACGGAACCTGTACATAGAAATAACTGTGCATTTGAGAGAATTCTAAAGAGGATTATAGAGAACACAGTCCTGTGAACTTCCAAACACAGTTGTTCCTAAGGGTTTAATTACTGCCGTCTGTGGATTTGCAATTATTTATGATGTTTTCTTACCGGGACATACATTCATTCATTTATTTTCCTTCCGCTTAGTTCCTTGTCAGGGGTCCCCTGCTGAAAAATCCAGCTTAAACCAGCCTAGGCTGGTTGGCTGGTTTTAGCTGGTTGACTAGCCTGGTTTTAGAGCGGTTTTGGCCATTTCTAGGCTGGTTTCCAGCCATTTCCCCCCTGGTCTTGGCTGGTCAGGCTGGAAAATGACCAGCTTGTCCAGACTGGTTTAAGCTGGAGATGTCTGGCTGGGCTGGTCAAGCTGGTTTAAGCTGGTCATCTTCCAGCCTGACTAGCTAAGACCATTTACATTTTACATTTAGTCATTTACATTTACATTTAGTCATTTAGCAGACGCTTTTATCCAAAGCGACTTACAAATGAGGACAAGGAAGCAATTTACACAACTAAGAGCAACAATGAATAAGTGCTGTAGGCAAGTTTTAGGTCTGTAAAGTCTAAGAAGGGAAGTATTAGCAGTATTAGTATTTTTTTTTTTTTGGTACAGTTAGTGTGATATTTCCAGGCTGGAAATGACTGGAAACCAGCCCAGAAATGGCAAAAACCCCTCTAAAACCAGGCTGGTCGACCAGCTAAAACCAGCCAACCAGCCTAGGCTGGTTTAAGCTGTTTTTTTCAGTAGGGTCACCACAGCGAAATGAACCGCCAACTAATCCAGCATATGTTTTATGCAGCCGCAACCCATACACTCTCACATTCACACACACACTCCTACACTACCAATTTAGTTTATTAAATTTACCTACAGCCCAGCCAGGACTTGAACCAGCGACCTTCTTGCTATGAGGTGACAGTGCTAATCACTGAGCCACCATGAAGCATAAATCACTCATAACTAGAAAAAAATCATGACTCTGCTTTGGCTGTGCACCGAAACGATACATAAAAATAGAAGCAATCAATTCAGCTCAAGCTGGATGACCAAGTTTAGGAAACCGAGCAAAGTAAAATGGGGAAAGCTCTGAAATAAGAGCAAAATCAATAGTCTGAAATAACCAATCAGGAAAAAAAAGGGGGAAACCACTTACTGAACTCTGTCCGCTGAACAGGCCGAATCCTGGGGGCAAGAGAAAAGGAGAGGGGGGTTGAAATGGTGAACGGAGAAATGGACACAACAGAAGAGAAAACATTGATTTTTGAAGTGATATGCTGCAGGAAAGACCATTGATTGAGGATTCATCCGGTTCAATAGTGTTAATCAACGGATATAGACACAATGACGGGCATCCCTCATCCATCCAGTTTTAGAGGTTAACCCAAGGCTGTTCATAATTAGATCTTTATTTTAATTATGCACATATTTTTGAGCTGTATCCACAGTAATAATTTATTACAACAAATATTCTAAGGTCAACTGCATTCTTTAAAATCAGCCATTCTGTCCTGCATGGTTCTGGTCAAAAACTGTCAAACAAATATGTTTTATTTATTAATATATGATGAATAAAAATTAATAAAAAAGCACTAGAATTAAAAGGATTAGGGGGTTTTAATGATTTAATAATAGCTCTCTTGTGATCCCCGAGGCTGAATAATGAATTAAAATACAGTATAAACACTGTTTAATATTTTTACATACACTGTAAAAAATGTTGTCCCAACACAAATCAATTAACTTAAAATTTTACAATGTAAGTAGATTGAACAAAAACCAATTAAGTTGCACCAAAAAACTAAATAATTGTATATGCATAGTTTGATCAAGTTGCATAGTTTTACTTGTTTGTAACAATATGCCAAAATGTCAATATATTCTTGCTTAACAAAAATATTCAATAATACTAATACAAACATTGAATAATATTATTGTAAATTTATGAAAATGTATCAATGCATACAAAACAGCATTTGCTTTTGTGGGACGTTCAGAGAAAGTTAACTAGAGTTTTCACAGTAGTGACAAAACCATTTAAGGTCAGTGATTGATTTGTTTCCTAATGTAAAGAACTTTTTTAAAATAAGAAGAACGCTTTTGTACTGTAAAGGACCTATGTGGAATGTAAAAGTTTCTCCAAAGCCTATAAACATATATAACATATATTTAAAAAAAAGTCATGAACTTAGAAACCAAAATTTCCTTGATTTGTGTTTAATGTTCATAGTTATATTGAATTGTCATGTTCAGATGGGAAACTTTCAAACTTGCTGTAACTTACCTGTTATTGTGTTTTACAGTAGCAGGGCCCTATACTGCAATTTCATTTTACGGTAAAATGGTCTTACCGCAACTTCTGTTAATGGTAAAATGCCCTTTACCACATTTTGATTTTACAGAATGACAATTTTTACAGTACTTTTACTGTAATTGAATAAAAATTTAAATTAGCAGTAAAAAAGCCTTTATTTTCAGTATTTATTGTTGAATTTAATACATTTTAATCAAGGATGACAGGATCATGTATACGTACAGCAGTTTTTACTATTCGTTGTTATTATATCCATTTTAAATGGTTTACAAAAACAATTTTCATCAGTCTATTTTAAATACATTTTGTAATACAAGCTGTTGATAATTTTTTATTAAATGTCTCGTATTTGTGTTCATGATCTACAGTAGCAGTACCTGATTACTTTGATTACAGTAGAACTCCGCAAATTCCTTATTTGCAGTAAGTTACTGTAAAAGTTTTAAAATTACCCACAATGCAATGCATAATGCAGTAGTGAACTGTAAAGAATGCATTTGATATTTTACTGTGAGCTTTTGCAGTAAATTACTGTAAAATTGTGGCAAAGTCTAACATTGTACACTCAAAAAAAGATTTTTGCATCTTGTTTAAACTGTTTATTTTAAATGAGCTGAATCAGCATAATTGTTGAGGTTTTTTGAGACAACTAAATAGTGCTGTGTTTAAGTCATTTAAAATTGTCAAAACAATTCAGTTAACATGAAGGAATTGTGTGGAACTCGTAACGGATCACGGTTGATCCATGATTCGTACAGAACACAGCCCACAGTTCAGAACGCATGTGACCCGCGGATCAACTACTTTTTTGAACTTGTAGGTTAATCCAGCATTTATAACAATTGCAGAGAGACTGTCTCCTGCGTCATTCAAATTATGTGTATAAACACAATTTGGCTTCCCTGTAAAATAAAATGATGATGGAAAAAGTTGTGGTGGAATCTACCCAAATGCTTTCTTAGGTTAGTGTTAGTTTCTTAAGTAGTGTTTTCTGTCACTGTTTGTTTAGCCTGCATTAATGCATTCAGTGTAAAGCTGCACAATTAAACATTAAAAGATTGACAACTCAATTCAAACCTGCGCAACATGAATGATAAATGATGATGATTTGCATGTGTTTATTAATCCTTCGAAGCGCTGCATTCAAATCTGCGTTTGATCGAGAGAGATTCAGTTTTTATACTGTTTCAGTTCGCTACAAACAATTAAATAACACAGAAGTGCTGGGAGAACAGTTTGTAGATCAAATATAAACACTGATGTTTATGTTAAAGATAAAAGCCACTGTTTAAGAGGCTGATCACACTGAACGCACTTTATGTGTTTAGAGGCGTCTTTTTTGAATGGTTTACTAACGGCCGCAAGCGTTTTGCGTGCTGCTTATGCGCCCTGCGCACCTCGCGTTTTAATCGCATGCTGCGCCTCACGTTTCTGCCTTTGCGGCGTGCCGTGCGCTCTCAGTTGAAAAAAGTCAACTCTGAGCGGGAAAAGCTCGTTACTTTACTCGCGTCTTTTTCATTCTCCAATCAAAGGAAAGCAGAGGTGGGGTTTCTGTTGAGCTGCCTGCAATGTTAGTGTTGCTAAGACAACAACGGAGACTTTTAAAGATGGAGGAGAGACTTGTTGAGACTTGGTTGCTGTTTTGGGTTATCCGGAGCTGTATGGCTTCACAAATCATGAATATCACAATATTATTAATTATTAAAATTATATTAATATTAACAGTAACACTCTTGAACAATACCCACTTCTTTTTTTTCTTGTCAACAAAAAAGGCAGTGCAGTGCACCTCGTGTTTTTAGAACGTAAATGCACATTTGCTGTGATCGGCCCCTAATGCAAATTGACCCTGCATGTTGTAGCAATTACATTGTGTAAACAACAGGTGGCCGTTAGGTTTTCAGAAATGATCCACCTAAAATGAAACATGAATTTTTATGTGTGAATTGTTAAATCATTAATTGAAAATAAATATGATCTCTTGTACAAGATGTTGATGATGATTTCTATATTTAGCATTATCAGCAGAAGTAGCAAAGATCTTTTTTCAGCTGGTTCTTGCTTGATTTCTATTAAAATTACAGGATCTGAGTTATGTTTGTTAAACCAATGGTTTTTGCAGTAATATTTTTGCATATATTGAAAGCAATTGACATTTGTCTCTTTCCGTTTTTGCTGATCTGAAAAATGGTCTGATCCATGACTAGTGGACCGTAGTGTGACCTGAATCATGCGATTTGTGATCCGTTACACCACTATGTGGAACCCTCTATTTTTTACAGTTAAGATATCCAGCTTATAAACGACTATCATACTGATACTAACATCTACTTCTATCTATTTCACAGGAACTTTAATTTATTTTATTTAATTTATTTTATTTTATTAATTTATTTCTATTTATTTTTTTTATTTTTTTTATTTATTTTTTTTAAGGGTATTTTAATGTATTGCTTTTACAAACTTATGAAACTACGTCCCTTCCGGGGTTCCGTATGAAGCATATTATTGCCATGGCATGAAACGTCTCTCCTTTTCTGTCTGTCTCTCACACGATGAATCCAGTCCGCGCTGCGCTGCCGTTAGCCTCCCCTGCCTGGTTAATGCTAGCTTCTCATCATTTAAAGTTACCATAACGTCTTCTTCTGTACCCTCATTCTCCTGATCATGGGTCTGTTTAAAGATGGTGTGTATGGAAAATGCCTCAATAAAGATGCCTCCTCTCCTCTTTCTCTCGCGTTTGCTAAATCCACTTGTCCACTCATTTTTGATCTATGACAGATATAACGTTACACTAAAGTCCGCTCAGTTTAGTTCGGGTTATTACAAAACTGACGTTTCCCCGCTTGACCAATTACAACATTCTGTTTAGTTAAAGAAAGAAAGGCAATTTAAATATAATAATAATGTTAATATGTGATCGCGATTTTTTTGCTCAGAGGAAATACAGTTGTCTGAGCAATATAGCCTAGTTTTTGCAGAGAGGGTGGCACCTATAATAAGGCTAAACGTTATTAAATACCCACGAGACACTTGTGACTTTATATCACATTTGCATTATTTTAAAAATATGTTTCCTTCCTGTTAAAAATAAATATATTTCCAATCTGATATGTAATGGGGAGAAAAGAAAGTAGCACGAGTTCAAGTTGATGATCAATCACGTCAAAAGATGATGCAGTGCGCCTTACAAGGTGCGCCACTGCGGCTGTTACAATACATAGCTCTTTCCTTATTTTGTCTATCAATCAGGCATCGATGGGTGTATACCCTGAATAGCTTATTCCAACGAGATGCGCTATTTGCAATTAGCCTAAAAAGACACTCCGAAATTGTCTTTTTTTCTCCCCCCTCGCAGGGGCCCCTAGTGCGCACGGGCCCCTGGGCCTGTGCCCATAAGGCCCATTGGTTAATCCGGCCCTGAGTGCAGGAAGACTAGAAACGCCCTTCGTTCACACAATAATGCTTAAATCAAATACATTTCCTTCAAATAAATGAATGAGAAATATAACTGTAATCTTATCAAATTAATTCACAATGAATTGCACTTCCTCATGTTATATTTACTTCCCCCCAGCCAGGGTTTGCACTCACCCTGTGTGGTCTAGACTGCCTCCTGTGTCCCGTGTGTTTGGGTCCATCACTCTTCTCTGAACTTGCACTGGTAGATGATTTACTGGACTGAGACTCATACTCCGGGTTTCGTGAAGGAGGCAGCGGTGGCGATCCCTTCATCTGCTTAGCATGAAAGTGTCTGGAAGAGCCGTGACTGCTTTGATGTCTCTCTTTATGGTGGTGTATGGTCTCAGGACTGGTGCTAGTGCCATCCGTCAGCATCTGAGAATATTGCCTATGGTGTTTTCCTGAAGAAACCCCTTGTCTTTCAGATTTAGAGGAGCGCCGAGGTGAAGGTGGAGGACTTAAAGTTCGGTTCTGGAGATGTTGATGATGTTTACTCGCTCTTTTCTGTGGCCGAGAGTGCGAGCTGGAATCTGTAGCTGTCTTTCCTGAATCAGGTCTCTCGGGGTGCTGTTTGAGTGTGACGCTTTCCTGTTTTTTGGGGGGTGTTACTCCATAAGAGCTTAATGCGCATGGACTGATGACCTGCTTAGTGATTTCATCTAAAAACGCTGAGAATTGCAGCTTTCCTTTTACAAAGTTCTCCCTCGCAGCCTCCATTGAGATCTGCTTGGATGTGGCTTTGACGTCCACTCTGGTGGAGAGCACCTCCATGGATTTGGCTTTCCGAAATTCGCCTCTATTCTGTCCCTCATCTTTATTCTTCAGTATGCCTTTGCTGGGAAGCTGAATAGACGAAACTGCCTTTTTGGGAGAGTTGCTTTGGAAAGCGAGGTTTTGTCCCAGGCTTGTGGTTTTATAAAGTGGTCCGTGATCTATGGTTTGAGATCCTGGTTTGCTCTGCTGAAGGCCTTCCTCGCTTTTGCTGTGTCCTCGAGAGAGTTTTGGCATCCGATGATCTTGTTTGCTCGTGTTTTCTAGGCTACCGCGGTGTTTCTGAGCTCTGTAGTCATAATCAAAGTCCTCCGAATCTCTGTCGTGGCTTATTTTTTGCACTTCAGGGATGTTGGAGCAGGACAGGGAGTGTTTGGGTTTGGGCGTCAGGTACGTCTCCTCGTCCAGACTGGGCTCAGACGTCCAGGACGGGGTTGAAGAAGAGGACGAGGAGGACAGGCTGGAGGAGGATCTTTTGGAGAAGTTGTGCTGGTCTACGGGTACTTTACGCTGTCTTTGATGATGAGAGGGATGCTGGTTATCATGACGATGGGGGTCGGGATGTCTGTGCTTGCCATGACTGCTTGAAGAGCTGTGGCTGATTTAATAATGAAATTAATGTCAGTGTGTGATCTGTTCTTGAAAACAAAAATGATTGTATTTTACGGTAGCATTGGACACACAGTCAAAATTATAAGCCCTCCTAAATTATTACCCCCATGTGTATTTTTCCCCAATTTCTGCACTGTAAAACAGTCAACTTTATTAAATGAAATGAGTGTAGTTAACTCAAAATTGACTGAAAGTTAATTCTACTCATTTGAAAAGAGTTTTTGAACTCAGTGTTGAAGGTAACGAGTTAAATACCTAATTACTTCAACATCAATGGAGTAAGTTCACAGTACTCATATAGATTAGTTTTTTAACTCAAACGGTTTGAGTTGCCTTAACTTATTGGTTTTACAGCACTCAGTTGGCTTAAGTTTTCTTCATTTATTGGGTTTTACTGTGCTCAAATTAGTATTTTACGTTTTGTTAGTTTAGTGGCTAATTTGTACGAGTTATGTCGTACGAAAATTTATGATTTTAAAAAGGAGGCGTGGTACCCAACCCTTCCCCAAACCCTAACCATTATTGGGGGATGAGCAAATCGTAATAAATTGTACGAATTAGATTGTACGAATTCATACGAATTAGCCACTAAATCAAAAAGTTACGAATTGCCATGAGATTGCGTTGTTTTTTTTCTGTTAAATATCGAAAAAGAAATATTGCTTAAGGGGGCTAATAATATTGACCTTAAAATGGTTATTAAAAAATTGCTTTTATTCTAGCTGAAATAAAACAAATAAGACTGTCTCTAGAAGAACAAAATATTATAGGAAATACTGTAAAAAAAATTCCTTGCGCTGTTAAACATCATTTGGGAAATGTCTAAATAAAATGTTTAAATAGTAATAATATTTTGGGTTTTCAGACCTTTATTGTAAGATTTGGATCACTTTGATCCAAAAAAATTTGGATTAAACTGATCCCATCAGAAGGGTGGATTCAGCGTGAATTTCATGCCCTAAAGGTAATGAAAGATTTTAAAATGTATTAAATAATACTATATTTGGATCATGCAGTATCTTACAAGAGATCCTATTGATTCATAAGGTTTTAATTGTATTTGTTCATCTGTCAGGCTACAGTAGGTAGGTAGGTTTTAACGTATTCAGCCTTTCAGTATAGACCAACAGCAAAGTAGAAAGAATTTGGCCACATAAAATAATGCCCCAAACAGCTGTCAAAATTGACCAAAAACAATACATTTTATTCTGTCACTAATTGATTTATATATTCATCACAATGGAAAATAGATTTGCTTTTAGAACATTTATTAGTGATGCATGCAATGATTACAGAATAACCAAAAAATGCAAAGAATGGCAATGACTGATTTTTGAAATCACTTTCAATAATTGCAGAAAGACACTGAAAGGGCAGAAGCACAGCTTCATCTGGCAGAGGAACAACTGACTCTGACCAAACTGCAACAAACCAAGGCCAGACTTGAGATCCGCCCCCTAAAGGCTACGCTCAGACAAGCTGGTCTCTCCACATCAGATGAGGAAGTCTGAAATTATTGTGGAGTTTTTGACATTAAGTCTTATTTTTATTCTATATTTGAAACTTGTTATAAATATCCTTAGTGTACAGTGTTTTTGTTTTAGGTCTCAGCGAACTCCTAGAAGAGGATGGGGTGGGGTTTTCTTGTTTTTTTTTTATGTGTGTGTTTTCATTTTTAAAAAAAGTTGTATTGACCCCACACTGGCTATTCTACTTGTTGCTCTGTACATATCTATAGTTCCCCTTCGGTTGGGGAACTTCAGTGCCATGAATGGGAGGATTCGGATCAGAAGCCGCTTATCTGGAGAGTATTGAACGGGCCAATGAATGAAATTAATTGGCAGCGTAAGCTTGCGCAGGTGTGCGACATCTGCAATCATCTCAGCATATAAGCACACCTGAAGCCAGCAGACGCCATCCTTTTCGCTTCAGATCCTTTCTGAGTGAGTCGATGAGGGTTCCTCTTGCTGATCAGCACTTCAGAGCGAACGAGTGTGTCTCCCGGTCCAGAGTGGGTCTTCGCGGTGGCAGACGGTCGAGCTGGGTTACTCCCTTGCCTGCGGTTCTTTGGGTCCGGTCCTCCAGAGCGGTGCGTATAGTTGCAACTTTCCTAAAAGAGCAACACAGTCGTGCAGCACGTCCTTTTCAGGATGGCGCTCCGACTGTGCGTTTCTGGATGCGGGGGTTTCCTGTCTCCGGATGATGGACACGATCACTGCATTGCATGTTTGGGGGTCCAGCATGTTAATGCGGTGCTCGCGGGCGGTTCATGTCGTCATTGCGATGCCATGACCGTTGCACAGCTAAGATCGCGGCTAACTTTCGCAAGAGAGCGAGCCACCCCAGTTGCCTCCTGTTCTAAAAAAGCAGCGGGCGCTCGGGCAGATCTGAGGGTTTCAGCGGGAGCTAATCCGCCGCCCACGGGCTCGCGGACCTCTCGCTCCTCACGGCGCTCCATCCAAGCTTCGGATGGTGAGAGTGATCCGTCTAACCAGATGGTAGCTCTCACACTCGCTGACACCGGAGATCAGATGTCCTCCGCGGCATCGGAGGGTGGGCTTTCACTGTCCGACGAAGATCCGGACCCGCTCGCCCCCTCCGGGCAGGTGAGCGCTGTCAAATCGGATCCTGAAGCGGACATGTTAGCCGTGCTTTCCCGGGCTGCTTCGGCCGTGGGGTTGGAGATGGTTTATCCCCCAGCTCCGCGGCCGGACCGACTAGATGGGTGCTACGTAGAGGACCAGAAGGCGAAGCCTTCGAAGCCTCTCGTCCCCTTCTTCCCGGAAGTGCACAGTAGGCTCACGCAGTCCTGGAGGGCACCTTTCTCTGCCCGTGCTGCGAGTGCCTCCGCCCTCACCGCCCTTGACGGCGGAGCTGCCAGGGGGTATGAGGCGATCCCGTCAGTGGAGCGCGCTATCGCGGTCAATCTTTGTCCGCGCGGCGCCTCTACGTGGCGGGGTTTGCCCCGCCTCCCGTCCAAAGCCTGTAGGTTGTCTGCCTCCCTCGGAGCCAGAGCTTATAAGGCTGCGGGCCAGGCTGCTTCTGCTTTGCACGCGATGGCCACCTACCAGCGCTACCAAGCGCAGGCGCTGGCCGAGCTGCACGAGGGCAGGTCCAACCCAAGCTTATTACATGAGCTGCGCACCGCGACCGACTATGCTCTTCGGACTACTAAGTCCGCCGCGTGTGCGCTGGGGAGGACGATGTCCACACTTGTGGTTCAGGAACGCCACCTCTGGCTAAACCTGGCCGATATGCGCGACGTTGACAAAGTTCGCTTTCTTGACTCGCCCATATCCCAGGCTGGCCTGTTCGGCGACACCGTTGGTGAATTCACCCAGGAATTCAAGGCGGTGAAAGAGCAGTCGGATGCGATGGGCAATGTCATCTATCGGCGTGGCCGTAAGCCCGCTCCGCCCGCCGAGCCATCCACCTCCGCTGTTCCTCGCCGAGGGCGCCCGCCAACGAGTGCTGCCCCGCCCCCGCCTGCGCCTCCGGCCAAGCGGGCGCGGCGTTCACCTCGAAAGCAGGCAGCCCCTCCTGCCCAGGGCGCCGTTAAGTCCGGTAAACGGACCGCGAAGCGTCCCTGAGACAGGCCATCCGGAGAAGAGGAAACTTGCTCTTTCCCCGCTGGAGGGCGGGGCCCCGATAACAACGGTACTTTTCAGTGCCACCAAAACATCAGTAAAAGAGCACTTTTTCCCTTCCCCGGATGTGACTGCACGAGTTCTGCCAGTCCGGGACGCGCTGCCTTCCGGCTCGCAGACTCTACGTGCTTCGCCAGTGGCTCACGAGCGCTGGGGGGACGGTCTCCCTTCCCTCAGCCCTCCAGCCCCCTCTCCGGAGTCAGGGTGCGGAGCCAGAGCGAATCGCTCTCCTCCAGCTTTTCCGCGGGACCCTCGTGCTTCCCGGATCAGCACACCCACTCCGCGCTGCCCCACCGCTGGTACGTCAGCGATTGTAGCGATGACTCCATTAGCGAGGGCTCTGCCTGCCTGGTTAGCGCGGGCCAGCCCCTCGCGGTGGCTCATACGCACAATCAGACTCGGTTACGCGATTCAGTTCGCGAAACGGCCCCCCAAGTTTACGGGCGTGTATTTCTCCAGGGTCAACCCCCTGTCCGCCCCTGTCTTGCGAGAGGAGATTGCTGCCCTCCTGGCGAAGGGTGCAATCGAGCCGGTTCCTCCAGCCGAGATGGAGAGTGGGTTTTACAGCCCATACTTCATCGTACCCAAAAAGAGCGGTGGGTCACGGCCAATCCTAGATCTGCGCGTTTTGAACCGCTGTCTGCACAAGCTGCCGTTCAGAATGCTCACGCAGAGGCGCATTCTCCAATGCGTTCGTCCTCGGGATTGGTTTGCAGCCATAGACCTGAAGGACGCGTATTTCCATGTCTCAATTCTTCCACGCCACCGCCAATTTCTGCGGTTTGCGTTCGAGGGTCGAGCGTGGCAGTACAAGGTCCTCCCCTTCGGGCTCTCTCTGTCTCCGCGGGTCTTCACCAAACTCGCGGAGGGTGCCCTAGCGCCCCTTCGGCTCGCGGGCATTCGCATACTCAATTATCTCGACGACTGGCTGATTTTAGCCCACTCGCGGGAGCAATTGATTATGCACAGGGACGAGGTGCTTCGGCATCTCCGCCTACTGGGGCTTCAGGTCAACCGAGAAAAGAGCAAACTCGCCCCCGTGCAGAGGATTTCTTTTCTCGGGATGGAGCTGGACTCGATCACCATGGTAGCGCACCTCTCCGAGGAACGCGCTCGCCTGTTGCTGAACTGTCTGAGGGAGCTCGACAGCAAACTAGTGGTCCCACTGAAGTTCTTTCAGAGGCTCCTGGGGCATATGGCATCCGCAGCCGCCGTCACGCCGCTCGGGTTGCTCCATATGAGACCACTTCAGCACTGGCTTCACGATCGGGTCCCCAGACGCGCATGGCACGCGGGCACACACCGGGTCTCGGTTACTGCGCTGTGTCGCCGCGCCCTC